TAGGATAGTAGATAAACAGATAGATAGATAGATAGATAGATAGATAGATAGATAGATAGATAGATAGATAGATAGATAGATAGATAGATAGATAGATAGATAGATAGATAGATAGATAGATAGATAGATAGATAGATAGATAGATAGATAGATAGATAGATAGATAGATAGATAGATAGATAGATAGATAGATAGATAGATAGATAGATAGATAGATAGATAGATAGATAGATAGATAGATAGATAGATAGATAGATAGATAGATAGATAGATAGATAGATAGATAGATAGATAGATAGATAGATAGATAGATAGATAATAGATGGATGGATGAATGGATGTAAAGATAAACTTGTACCTTCACCTCACCAGATCAGAATTTACAATACGAATTTGGAAACATTACTTAAATGGGGTGTTTTTGTGCTCTTCCCTAGCGTAAAAGGAAGTCAAACCCCAGAGAGAACCCAGTAAACATAGGTTAGCCTGGATTACACAGATCAGCACTTTGAATAGTGTCTGTCAATACTTAAGTGCTTTCATCCCGAGGCAAACACGATATTTCTGTTTCGTGCCTGCTATAGAGGAGAATATTGGTAGTTCAGGTATCGTAGATGGTCGTTGGTCTGTTCGCTGAGATGGGCAATCGGACTGCAAACGTTTCGTCACCAATCGAGGTGACATCATGAGTGCGTTGTTAGGGTTGGTTGTTGTGCACAACCCATCGCTACGCTCCACTACGCTTCTTAACAGCACACTGATGATGTCATCTCGATTAATGAACAAACCAACGACTATCTGTTTCATATCTTTGAAAACGAAGCTAATGGCTTTCTTCAAGAAGGCCAGAAAAGTCAAGGATCAATCACAGTATAACCGTAAACTGTTTGTCATTCCGGGCCTCCAACGTATGAAACAGTCTTTTGGCTAAGCGTCTGTGAGATAATCCACATACCAAATGTCGGAATATCATCCCACTGGAGTCATGTTCCTAGCCTAATATACTGGACTTCTTGGCGCGATATTATTAGCGGGTGAGTATGAAATAGACCAGTGCCGTCGATTGCTATCTACGGAAGCTGGAAGAGGAACGATGCTTCCGATGGCACTATCAACTCTAGATGCTGCAATTCACCGTCGAAATTGGCTTTATGTTCCCAACCAAGATTGCCAATTGACAGATTGACTAGTCAGTCATTTCAATTCTGCCCCCCCCCTTTCATCACCGGACTTGGTTTCAATAGAAACTTCCAATAGGTGTCCCGGCTTCACAAAGTTCTTTCACGGTGCACCACTTTCTCAAAAGTCTGATTCTATCTCTCCACAAGTTCACGAGGTCGACCACTGGGGTGCGACAGTAATTGGAACAATTCAGGGAGGTGACCAAACCAAGTTTGTCCCCCCTTGGTTGATCCAGCGGAATGAGCCTAAATCTTACGAAGCTACTGTAAACATGCTGGGGGTAAATATGTCAAATCTAGAGTTATTGACGAAACACTACTGTGACCGCATATTAAAAGTCTTCAGCAGTTCACCACCAGTTCCGTCCTACCTAGAAGGCATAGTTCCCGAGTTCCCATCACTTCAATTTCCTGCATGTGTATTTAGATGCACTCTTTTTTCGTTTATTTTTGGGATATCCCAGGCTCTGACGGAAGCTAGTAGCGAGGATACTCAATCAGTTGTCCCGTATCGGTGATATGCCACGTCATTACTCCGCAAAATTCGTCTACAGAAACAATGTGCAGTCATTTGTTGTTGTTTTATCCTGGCAGAGCTTTGGAGAATATCTGGGAGAATCCGATACCACGTGACTTGTATGTGTCTATGAACTTGAGTTTCGGTTACCTCTGCTTTGCTGACAATTGCACTGTTTTCAGCTGAGGTTCCGCTTTGTGAGTGGAGCAAACTTATGCTGAGAAACATTGTACAGCCGCTTGATGAGCCAGTCAATCGATACATTTTGTAATTTCCATGACTGACGAATAAGTTGCACCAAATCCTGTCTGAGTGAAATTTAATCACAGTGGTCATCAGTTACTTGTATCTGAAGGGTTAAGTGTTCAACCTGCTACCTGACGTTTCGATGACTCTCACCAAGGATGGAACAGCTATACAGTGCACCTTGCCTCTCCAGCAAAGATTCGTTTCATTTACAGCACGGAACTTCAATTTAGAATCCCCAGACCTCCTTGCAATGCCATCATTTGGAAAGTTTATCAGATTATCCAAGCAAAAGACATCAAACTGCATTAAAGATAATGATAAATTATAAAACGTCGTTGACCATCATCAAGGATCTACCGACTTGGTTAACTTCATTCAAATGTAACGGATCGCGGGTGGTCTGCACATATCTTTCACACACAACGGATTACAGAATACGGACAACTAATGGGCGAAGACCGCAGGTAGCAGTAAAGCACAAAAAAAGTGACCGACAATAAATGTGTTACGAAGTTTTCCTGGTAAGCATATTACGTCGAAATGTGAAAACCGTGGATTTTGAATCTGGCATGCAAATGGTGATTAGCTCCGAAGAAGTGATTGTGGCATTCGCTTTTGCAATGCGCCAGAAATACTTGAAGTAAACGGTTCAATCAGGGCATGAACTGGGTCCTTCCAGCATGAACTAGCGAACTGAACGAAGCCGGCACAGCTCACCTTCAAGAAGCAGTTCCTTCTACAGAATACCGCAGCATAGCTGATTTATTTTCTTTGTGATTATTTGCTATTTTTCAAATTTACCAACTCTAGGATCCGCAGTTGCACCATCTCCATAACTGTCCGGCCGGCGGGTCACTTCTACAGAAATGCAATGATCATCCTACCAAAATGCTCATTGGATTGAACCAGTGGCGTCAGTAAGTGAAGCGTACTTTCGTACCGTTTTTTCTACCATGTCCGGTGAAGTTCTGATATTGATTTCTGCACGCTGTGCACCTCATTGGCGGTTGTATTTTGACCCGACTTTTGTACATAGTGTAGTACTTTTTCGCACGTGAACCGTATAAGCCCTAATTTGCCGGTACCACACAGAATTACTAATCCTTGAAGGTTCAGACCACATAAGACTAAAATGCTGAAAAAAGTTCACCAGGAGTATTTTTTTACTTAATTTGTTCTTTTGATGGATGGGAGAGTTGCGACTGAAACTTAGGGACAAACACCTGGATTATAAAAACTGATGGGCCAGTTTGCTTCCCTTATTCAAAACATTGTACGATTTTCGCACTTATGAATACAAGATGTCATGTGTAGCCAAGCGATTTGAAATAGAGAATTCATTCGGATATCACATGACATTTTGTTTGGTTCTGATATCCCCTCCAGTGACTGGCACACGCCTTGTAATTTCATTGGCCTGTTGGCGATTTGCTCTGCGTTGTAGTCCATACATCTTATATTCCATTGGGTTCTTTACAGGTCCACTTGCTGACTGGTCCGGTTTGTGGGGGCACTAAGACCATTATTTCCTGAACTTGGATGGTCTCTGATTTATTCGCAGTATTGGAGAGCGAATGTCTCGTTCCGGGTTCTGATGGCTCCCTTAAATGTTACCAACATAGCACACTTTCTCATAAGTTGCAGCAGTTGCCGGATTATGCAACGGAAACTTGATACAAGCTAAGCATGTTGCCATGGCAACTCAAGCACACACGGGAAGTGCTTACTGTATTTAACCATCAGGGAAAGTGTGTCATTTTGAGCTGCTATTCAGTGTTGTGTCTGTTAAGCACTTGAAGGGACTACGACCTATGCAGCTTTTCCTTTCGAGTAATAGTGCTTCAAGCCGGTCTTATTTTCATACAAAATTCAGGAAAAGATTTCACATTTGGTTGCTTCAACGGTTAGTAAAACCCTTAGTGATTCTGGCCGACAGCTCTACACACACATGACGGTATTCTGAATGTGTGCAATGCAAGCTTCCTTGTTATGAGCTCAGATGCTTCGCAGCACTGGTCTCCCGGACACGCTGCATAAGGACGATGAAAACGTCCAACAATATCATGTTCCTGGAACAGTGAACCTGAAAGTGTGAATTCCCTCCAGCGCATTTTTATAAAAACAGACAGAGTCACCTGTCCCTGGGAGAACTGAAGCAGATCGTGTGATGGGTCTGCGCACATGGCATACATGAATGTAAATTCGGGTCAAATTGAAGTTTACAACCACCAAGTGATAGTCAGTTGGGAAAGTCCAGACAAATCAAAGCGTCCTTCCTGGAAAGGCCTTGAATCAGACAGTTCCAAGGTCAATCGATTCATTTTACTGACGAAATTTCCTTGAACTTCATACTGTTTTGAGGATAAAATTCCCTATTCCGAGTTTTTAGTGTGGAACACGATAGTGTGACCCATAAATTCCGACCTGAAACAGACGATAAGGGTGAGGACTGTGACGCTGATCTGGATGATGTGGAGAGATGGAGAAGGCCAAGCGTTTGACGACCAAACGTTTATAAGCAAATTGCCAAGCTGGACGAACAAATCAACAGATAACTTATCTAAGTCCGATTAAACCAACCGAACTACCAGTGTAACGGTGTGGTAGTCTATGCTCTGGTGCCTAGCTCCACCCCATATCTGATGTGAGATGGGAGTGGGGTTTGTAGCGTTCATCTCATATTGTCTAATATCCAATGAATGTCCTGGAAATTTCAGGAGGACGCTTGAAAATGTTCACTTCTCAAAAACCCCATGTATATGAGATGTTTATTTCCGTGTGTAAGGGCTTGTAACCACTTGGTCCGTGCTTGCTAATTTAATAAATTCGAAGCGAAGTGTCCAATTCCTTTTACCTGTATTTCCATGAATTGGAGAATCGCTGATGCAATAGGCATTCGTTTGCGTCCATCGCTAGAGCCAGTCTGATTTGCCAACAAGTGTATTCCGCCAATAACAAAACCGTTAACTCGTTACATGATAGGGGAACAGTAGTTGGCAGACACGTGGAATCTAAACGGTTCACATTGTTTTTTACTTTCTTGATCCATTCAGATCCGGACGGTTTTGCGATGTCATTCTTCGGGCTGGAAACATTGCAATTAAAGCACACCGAGTAGTCCTGGCCACTGGTTCCAAGTATTTCGAAGCCATGTTTTCCCATTCGGTGTCTGAGTCGTGCTCGGATAGCGTGACCATCAACGATGTGGATGAAGCGGCCCTCGTGCAGTTAGTGGAATTTCTTTACACTGGTGGTGAGTAATTATTAAACAAGAAAGTAGGTGCATCCGAAAAAAAGTGCCATTCGCCGGAAAAACAGGAACCGAATTCTGATGAAAGTCTTTAATAGCTGATGTCGGTAGCTCATCTAAAATCCTAACAAACGCATTTGGGCAATTGGACGAAATTTTGGTTGCTCCCTGGTTCCGAAGATGTTAACAGGGCACACTCAAGTGATTCTTTTCGCAAAATTTGGAAGAGTTAGGTATATGGTAACCAAGCGGATAAGAAAAGACGGTCATCTGAGGTGGATTACATCCTATACGAAACAATGTCATCAATATCCGGTAAACTTCTGTTTGATTGCTCGCTTGGTGAAATAGTGGGCACTCCACCTGCAGCTAGATTTTATATTAAAATATCCGTTACCATGGTAAAACGAAGCCAAAAGGTTGGCAACTATTCTCATATGAGAGAAAGTTAGACATGGGCACTTTAGCAGACGGTGCACTCACATCACGCCTACAATGATGAATATAAAATCCTCGTGGCCTCAAACGACTTTTACATCCACTGTTTGACATCCCTTCCCTCGAATAATAGGTCGTTGAACTGGACTAGATGCCAAACCTGTGACAGAATGAGAAATCTGGTCATTGCGTGAGCAGAAATTTTGTAAAACCCAAACAGCCTGGCTATTTTGGGCAATTTTTATGGGCTAGGGTGAAAAGTTGGGCATTCTGGCATTCACACTTCCTTTTCTGGAACAGCACTCTGCTTTTTTAGTCGGTCAGCGCATCTGATTAGATGTTCACGCATGTCAGATTTGTCAGCAGTAAATCGGTCATATCCCCTATTTGTAGTCTGGTTACCTTACTGAGGAGATAAGCCTGTCTGAAGACACTTCAGCATTGGACGCTGAAATCGGTACCGTCGCCTCGATGTCAAGTGGCCCACTGGATCTTTCATGCTAACGACTGGTGAGTCTCGTTCGACCGGCCAATGTCCTCGACCATCTGGACAATTCATAAGACATGACCTGAAAAGTAATTTCCGACTGGTTCATCTGTTGTCCTCTCACGCCACTTACTGTTCAGTCGGCCGGTTCTCATACGCAGACAGTCACCAACCCGTCGGGTTTGTTTTACCATTGTACAAAATCCAGCTGAAGATGGAGTGCTCATTATTTCACCAAGCAAGCGACCACACAGAAGGTTACTGAATACTGGTAACATTGTTTCGTATAGGTATCGGTTGAAATCCACCTCAGATGACCGCCCTTTCTTATCCGCTTGGTTGACATATACCTAACTCTTCTAAATTATACTAAAGAATGATACTCCCCTGAATCACGTGACTGCACCCTGTTAACATCCTCGGAACCAAGCAGCAACCGAATTTCGTCCAATTACCCAAATGCGTATGCAAGGGTTTTAGATCAGCTACCGATATCAGCAGTTAAAGACTTTTATCAGAATTTGATTCAACTAACTTCCTGCTCTTCTAACAGTTCCGGCGAACGGCACTTTTTTTCGGATGCCCCTAATATTTTCATTTTTAGTGTATTAATTTTTGCTCAGCTGACTCGTTTGACCTTTCAGCATGGATTGTCATGATTGAGGGGACAAAATCGCTTCTGAAAATTACCAAATCTCCCCACACAACCATCAGTCTGTAATTGACTAAGAAGGAAACCAATTTCACAGGATGAAAGAAACTTTCATCTGAGTGGTCGTCACTCAAGGAGCCGGTCAATAAGTGACCATGTGACGTGGATTCCGTGACTGAAGGATGAGTGGCGCTATATCCTGTCCAAGTGAGGACTAATCACACTGCTGTTCAGCTGCTCGTGGCCGAACGGTTAAGTTTTCAGGGTACTAGCCGGGAGGTCTCGAATTCGAAACTGACTTCTGGAGTTTAATGAGGTGCGCACTACTGTTCAGACCAAATACGGACGAAACAGCCGTGCAGTGCTCCTCGACTTTGCAACGCAGATTAGCATCAATTACATGATGAAAGCTCAACTGAAAATATTTAGTCCTCACAAAGACAAGCACTCGATTCAGGTTTTGCTCTTAGTATAACCTGCTAACTATGTCTGTGAACATGTGCGTTGTAATTTTCCTCGAAAGAGACGAAAGCAATCAGATAGTTGTGCGTAAGAAATTATCCGTACGTTCCACATATCACACACGCAGCTAAGAGCAGGGATTACATTTGTAGGTTTCTCAGAGGAGTTTATTCTCATTAAGGAAACTACTCGCAAGGTTGCTGAAGATCCTTCAACAGCTTCGTTCTTCCTGGGGCTCATCAGGTAGGCACAGTCCCCGAGTTTCCGTCAACCTTATATTCCACTTGTAGAATAGCATAAACGAGTGATTTAGTTGAGTCTCGTGAAAACCAAATTGATTTGCAAATGAGTGTATTTCTCGAAAAGAATTTTATTACATACCTGAAGCTAACTGCCCGACTCAGCAAACAAACCAACGACCATCTAGAATTACTGCTTTTTGGAGATGATTCAAATGGGTGACTACATGCGTGTGGTTGGCTACCCCTGACCAAGAAGCCTGGAGATTTGTTGAAAAAATGCATTCTGTGGCTTGTCCTAAGAACCGTCCTATTCCACTTCCATCCATGTTGTACGGCTGCGCCTTTGTCCATTCTGTTTTCGAGAACTCTAGTGGATATTCAGTTGTTCCAATATTTCTATCTTTTGCTTCCGGAAAACCATCTGAAGCATTTTTTCTTCTGTATAGCAACCAATGACTCTTATTTTCTCTACATAGAAATCGTCATAACCGAAGAACATGTAGAAGGTTTGCTTGCTGCATCAAACCTACTACTTGTTCCATACGTACGCGACGCCTGCTGCCGGTTCCTTCAGTCCCAGTTGCATCCAGAAAACTGTCTCGGCATCTTTCGCTTCGCCAGTCTGCACAGCTGCACCGAATTGTCGGAAGCCAGTTTCCGATTTGCAGAAGAACATTTCTTGTGAGTCATTTTTTCTCGTCTGTGTGCTAGCAGACTAACGGAGACTTTACCAGACCATGTCTAATAGATTCCCTCCTTCTGTAATCGCTGTCAGAGCAGACATCGTTTCATAGCCTACTTGTAAAATGCTCTGTGATAGGTAAACACTTGGACGATCCCAACGAACGATAATGTTTCATGTGTATAGCTCAAGTACATTTATTGATCTCTCTTGCAACCGCTTATTGCGAGACGATCTTTCACTCTGACTATTGTCACGAACTGGACAAAATGCTTTCAAAAACAGCCCAGTGATTAAAAGAAGTTGACGAGCATAGCGTTCTCGGGATCTGGTCCTCGAGTCAATGCTTGTCCAGTGCTAGCACAACTAAAACTAAATTGCCAGGGCGAGCTACCGTTCACCAACACGCTAGCCAACTGGCTGACTGTGAAAGGAGCATAGCGCTTCGCTGCGAAGTCTTTTTCAGTAAGCACGAACTAAGTGGTCACAAGCTTTTAGTCCAGAATCCTCCAGGAAAGTCCGAACATCCTCAAAAAGTTGTGGCCGCTGGAGCTTCATCCGTATCCTGATCATTGAATCAAAGGAAAGGTTGAATGCCCTTCGCTGCAACGCTGTTTATTAGTAAACAGGGGCCAAGTGGTTACAAGCTATTAGACACAAAAATAAACACCTCAAGTGCACTGCGAACATTCTCAAGCGTCCTGTTAAATTTTCCCGGACGCTTGTTTAATAATAAACAACAATGGACAGACACTTCAAAGCGGTTGCATCATTTCCGTAGGAACTTTCACTTCCGTCAGATTTGGTGGAGGAGCTTGGACACCACACACTGAACTACTTGCCTGCTCCATCAGTAGTATACACCGTTAAACTGCTAAGCTAAGCTATCGACTGGCTAGACGCCTCACATTCTGCGCGACTAATGGTTGTGTCTGGTGGTGTTTCACAGGGGCAAGGCAAGTTAAATGCATGCACAGAGTGCTCCTGGTGCTCAGGACAGGATTGCCTAGGCGTAACACAACCGCAACCAAGCAACGTCTCCGGTTAGCTTTCGGCAGCTGTACGGAGAGGGACAGGTGGCGCGATGCTACTCGACTACGTCATACAGTTTTGAGACGACTACACTCTTGACTGATCTGATGAATCAGCTGGTAATCAAGGAAGGAAATTGCTTCCGTACTCTCTTCGACAGTTACTTATTCGTTCATCCAACATATATTCTGCTCCACAGTAGCAAGAGAAAGTGTCCTCATGTCGAGTGTTGCATTCTGCTGGCAGTGAACTGAGAGCTCAGAGTCACTGGTAAAAGTACACGCTTCAAGAATTTGTACACTCCACAGCCGGTCAAATATTCTGACAATTCCATCTTAAAAAAGGTTTGTTTTCCATCTTCATAATGATCGGAGGAATGTTTCATTGATGAAGTGTTCTGGATACCCGTTGCGTCCCAACGGTTGAGCGATGTAAGTCATTTCAGTCACCAGGGTTTCGATAGACCACAATTGTCCTACCCGACTCGTCAGACCATGCACCGACCTTTGTTGCTGTCTCAAAAGTACGCAGCTGTCGAGATTCGTGTAACGACCAGTTCAAAGGGATTGCCTGCATACCGAACTTTGTGATGAATTCCCCCGTTGTTGTCCTAGGAATGAAACATACCCTGTGCAACTTATTCGAGTATGAAATTTATAAACGCATAATCCTGATCAGACCCATTTAACATATTGCTTACTTCGTCATTTAGGACTCAACTATGTGAAATCATTTAGATTTCGATGACGAAAATGTATCTATTCAATGTTATCCTCCAGTTTATCACATTCAGGTATGGCCACGAAAAAAATCCTCAGTAGTGGACCCATAGAAACTCCTTCAGGACTTCGGTAAAAAGTTTAGTTACTGAAAAATCGTATTTCAAGGGTACAAAGTAAAACGAAATCCTATCAGAGAGGTATCTGGGACTTCGAATATTTTACGAGTACATGAGATCCAGAAAAAATTTTCCTCGTCAGCTATCTTTTTAGTGACATCATGGAAATATTCCGAAAATCTAGTTGTCCCGGAATAGCTAAACCTTGTTTCAACGTAGACTCTGCAATCTTATGTATTGATCCTATGAGGACAAAGTATTATGGTGTTTTTGGCGTATTCTGTTGCAGTCTCAGTGAAATAAATTATTGATTTTTTTCATACTCCAGAAGACAGCCATTCTCTGACGAGCCTTCAGTTTAGCAAATCTGTAGATTCCCAGTTGTGGTTCCTGAAAGTTTTGCGTGCTGAGTGAAATTTCTCTTACAAGTGAATTTTCACGAGTCACGCTCTTCTACTCGTATTATTCTCTTCTGTTTTGGGTAGCCTCGAACCAAGGCAGTTCCTTCATCCTCCTGTTGCTCTGGTGTTGAGGAGAGTCAGATACAGATTAGTAGATCAGATGTTATTTACCACCTGATGATTTCTGCAGTGACATTCTATCATTTTCAGTCGTTTTGCGGATAATGTAACAGAGGAATTTACCAGAGTTTGTCCTTTCGTTAGTCATTCACGTTTTACTCGTGACAGCTGTTCTCGTTAAACTGGGAGTCACGTGCCATTCTTGTCAGTAGAACTATCGGACCCCTTGCCTATTTTGTGTGACAATCACGTGGGCAACATGGCTCACACGCCACTCACATAACACACACATGTGACAATAACAAGTAAGTTAGCAGCTTTGGAGGTTCCACTTTGAGTCAGTTTCCGAATGATCCAGACTAGCTAAAGATTGGCTTCACATCCAGGACGGATTCCCCACTGAACATTTCCAAATCTACTCAGACTACTAACAATGTATAAGTAGCTCAGAGGAAGATAATTTCACCAGATGAGTGAAACTTCCATCTGAGGAGTCGTGACCACATAATGTGGGTTCCGTGATTGAATGCTGAGTGGCGCTATATCACGTTTAAGTAAGAGTTAATCACACTGGCGATCAGCCGCTCGTTGCCCAAAGGTTAAATGTTCAACCACTGGCCGGAAGTTCACGAGCTGGGGTTTTTTGAGGTACTGATGGTCGCCCATACGCACGAAACAGCTGTACAGCGCTTCTTGGCTCTCCAGCATGGATTGATTCCATTTACAGGACGAAGTCAGTTGAAAATTAACAAAACCCTCAGTCGACTGAGTTGTTGTTTTCCCTATTTGGCTAGCCGCCAAAAAATTTCTCATTCTGTGCTCAGTTTAAATCGGCAGCGTTTAGAAAACTCGAATTCCCAAGTTGGTTCATTCGTTGGTGATTTCGGTCCTCCCGGTTTTGTTCAACAATCTAGCGAGTTGACAAATGGATCTGGTGAATTCGTAGAACTGGATGTGGACAGTGTGGAACAATTAGTCTCAAGTGATCATCTCACCGTATCTGAGGATCGCGTGTTTAGCGCAATACGCCTTTGGGTGGAACACGACGTAAGCGGTCGACAAGCACACGCCGAGCGTCTGTTTGAGCATGTGCGGTTCGGTTTGCTCTCGCGCGACTATGTGATTCAGCTCAACATTCCCAGTGAATTTTTGCTTGCTAATCCGTGGTGTCAGACGCGTTTGTCGCAAACTCTTACCTATCACCTCTCTCCATTGGCGGACAACCCGATGACTCCCGATCAGTTCCAACCTCGCAACATGGCACCAGAGGTTAGTTTTACGTGGGATATTTTCTTTAAGTCGTTTCACTGAGGTTGATTTCCACTGAAGAGAAAATGTTCCCTCAAGAGTGTCCTCCGGTTCGTTGGCAAATGTTTTGGTTCTCAATTATAAACCACGAACCGACGGACGGAAATGAGTGATGGTTTCCGAGGTGTGTAAAACTTCATCAGCAGAGTGACACAGTTACATGCCGTGTAATGTGATGACCTCATCAGGGAAACTGGATAGTGACCTTGACCAGAAAGGTGGGTTGTTCCTGATTCAGATTCCTATTGACAACCAGAAACAAGTTAAGAGATTTTCCTGTGAGAGCAGAATTACCATATACTGATCAGTGTGTAACTTCAAACTTATTGACTGTTCGGATGCAATTATTTAACCATTCCTCATAGCAGTATCCCTAGTAACGCGGTAAATTTTTTCTATAGATTACAGCAATAAATTTCACTTCCTGTTTATGATGTTGGGGGAAGCCTTCAGCGACGGATTGACAGTACTCTTGAGAATGACCTCATTTCTGTTTTATTTCGCTGTAGGAGCTCCACTAACTCAAGACACTTGTCCGAATGAGACCTCCAATTGATCATCTTTTTTAATTGCACAAAACGAATTAACAAAACATATAAATGCCGACCCCTGTTGTGGCATCTTTTGGAAACCGCAAATTGGCAGGTTTCTCGGAGGACAAAGGCGAATTGATCTGATGGCCAGCTCACAATGTGTGACGTGCACATTCAATCGCATCAATTTCGCCTACATTTTCTTCTACAAACTGGGTGCATGTGACTGAGGACCTGTGGCTCTTCATTTTCTAGAGAACAGTCTTTCTTATTGATGTTTTTAGCGTGAAGCCGCTGTTCGGTTTGGAGGACAGATGCACCAATGCAAATATATTACATTTCCTACGGAATAAAATGCATGAGAGAAAACAGGTAAACGACCGTCGTCACGCTAGCAATTACTACCGCAAAATACAGTCTCATTTGGAAAAATCAATAATCGGCATATGGACATGTTTGATATGGACATCAACATATGGACTTATGTTGATGGCTTGGTCTGGCATCCAGTTCCGTATGTTTGCAACGTTCATCTTAACTCGGGATCGTTTCATCTGTGCATGCAGTTTCTGAAAGTTGACCAAGATACCTGTCCCGTAACTTTAGAGACTCACCAGTGTTTGGTATTCACAAAAGCTTACTGTTCGACATTTCGATGCATGTTCAGTACTGTGCTTTTACTTCCCTCACCAAATATGCGGATGTGACGAGTGAGCTCGATCTTATCAAAGCGAATTTTCATGCTCTGTGTAGCAGCTGCTTCGGTGTGTCAGAGAGAGTGCGCGTGTGCGTGCCCGTTCGTCGTTCCACCATCGATCTGGCGTGTAACTTGAGTGCTGATTGGATGTGTGTCCGATCGATTCACTCGCGTGCGCGTTGTGGGTTGACTAGATATGTGACTCGGTTGTTTGCTGACCCGCCACGTAAGCGGACCAGCTGGCCGCGTGTACGCAATACAACAGTGTCATTACTTACGTGTTCTTCTGATTTATTCTAAACATGGAAAAACGGAGCACCATGCATTGCCATACGGTTGTGGTGTAGATAAGTCCATTAACGCGACGGCCTTTAGTGTCGCACTTTTAGTTTTTTCATTTCATTTACTATGAAACGGATTCGTCGGACGATTCTTTCTTACCATCCGCTTTAGTGCTTGTTTGTGGGCGCACTCGTGGTGATAACTCTAACTGACCACAAGTGCGCTCACACAGTGAGATGTCTGTACACGGACAAGGTACAACCGGTCACCTGCTGGCTTTACCTGTAATATATTGTCGCAAATCATCGGAGCTTCGTTACACGATAAGTTTCGGCTTCACAAACAACATTTTCTAAGTGGGTCTTAGATGGACTTTGTTCATGCAGAAGTCCCGTATGATACGAATTAACATCATGACCTGTGACGGTAATCCCTACGGCTTCTTTTCCCTGATTTTTATGGGTGCTCTTCTCCCACAATGGCTTGTGTTTTTGCCTATCCAGTGTACTTGTGTGCAGCTTAGAGCAAGTTTCCGCCGTTCGGTCTCAATTTAACCTTTTCTGACTTCCACGGGCTAAAGGGGATTTGCATCCATCCGCAGGCGGCCACATACAAGCCGCTTTCAGTGTTAGCAAGCCCGCGGTGGGAGGGTCCTGGGCACTGTTCGATTACACATCAAGCATAATCGGATACCAAACAGCCCTGTAATAAGACGAAACAGTTCGTCTACCGGCGACAACAGAATTTTTTCCATTCTGTGGAATCTTTCGACTGTCCTTGAGTCAGGCTGACTCGAACGCTTTAGGACAGTTGCACACGACTACATTGGTGTTATTTATAGAAGTTTTGATCAGTTGAAAAGACCCACAAGCACTGAAGGACAGAAACAGAAATTTGCCTCCAAGAGAGCTAAAGTAGTCAACTGGTCTTCTTTCGATGAGCTATGATTTGGTGCAAACGATCGCTTAAGCGAAGGATGGAAAGGTGGCAGGAGAAGACAGATTTGCCTGTGCAACTCAAATATGATAATCTAACCCATACCACGAGGAAACCGAAAATTGCGGACAATTTGAGACAAGCTACCAACGACCTCGGATGGCGCGTTTGGATGTAAACTTCTGCAAGTGCTCCGCAGTTTCGATGAGAGGACTTTGGCCAAACCAAGCTTTTTTAATCTTCAATATTATTTTGCACAGTGCAAACTCTAATTCCTTACGTTCCATCTGTAATTCTTCGCCAAAATGTAGGCAGTGAGACATTAGCGAACTGGAAAGATGCAAGTTTGTGGTGTAGTTTCTTGAATGAAGCTACTCATAAGGTTGCTGAAAACTTTTCAACAACACACAATCGGTTTCTGACTACTTGAACTTCATCCAATGGGAGTATTTCCAGAGTTTCCTTCAACCTTATGTCCTACCTAAACCCGAATTGTGCCACATTTAGCTGGGATCTAGTTGAGTCTTCCATGAAAACCAAATTGTCATACTGACTATCCTTTTTACACACAGGAAGAGTTCACTGGATTAGCCACGTCAACAGGTAATCAGATGTATGTCACTGCCCCTTGCACTATCCCGATACTTTGTGACCAGATCACTGAGTTTATCGATCGGTTTGGGTGTCAGGCCCGGTTTTCTAACAGGCGAACTCAATTCACTTCTTATCAAGGCGCGAGCAATAGGCATGATCACTGGGCAGAGCTTATGGTGTCAGGAGCGATGCTCACCGGAAATAAAGGCTCGTAAAAAGCAGTTATAATTATGGTTGTTAAACTCTTCCTCCACTAGCCGAAAAGGTTAATCGTTCTCAAACTTTATGTAGCAATGCTTTCATGTTAGTGGCTAGCCGACTGCATTGTGCTCCCAACCATATGGACTATAAATGGACAGCAAATAAGACGCGCTATTTTGATGCAAATATGACATATGTTTGCGCATATCCTGTAGGCATCTACCAAATGGAGCGCTGTATTCCCCTCCAAATCCTTGTTGGAGGAGGGTCTGTGGAGTGGGTCACGACATTTCACAGTCAGACGAATTGAACCGCCATCGAGATGAATCTCTTAGGATCTTTGTGCTTTCATGTTCACAGACCTTTGCCCCCCCCCCCAGTTCATCGTTTACAGCCGTCCGTTCTTTAGTGTTCAGCTGTAAAACATCAATTTTTTCTCATCGATGCACGGCTGTCTGTGACGACAATCAGGCCAGACTACTGCTACAGCAACCTTTTCTATTTTTCGTTTGTTCAGGTATTGATGATCGTTGGTGGCTGGAATGGTTCCGCTCTATCTTCAGTTGAATGCTTCAACTTTCCAATTGGTTCATGGCTGAGTAAATCGCAGAACTCAACCGCGTTTGTGTTTCCGTCTGCCTTACGCCCACATGTTCCAGAAATACCAAGAAAACATGCCTTTTGCGGTGCGGCTGTCCTGCGTAAGAAGGTTTATGTCATAGGTGGCTGTTACGATGGCGTTGTCCCTGTCCGGGATGTAGATATCTACGACATCTCAGGGAATTCTTGGAGTCAAGGCCCTCAGTTGCAGTATGCACGGCAAGATCTTGGCGTTGCAGTGCTCAACGATAAAATCTACGCGGTTGGTGGGTACAACGGTAAAACAGGTGAGAATTCACAACTTCGACCACTGAAATTCTGCTCTGCGAAGGTAATATCCAAAATCCAGGGATCTTACGTAGATCTCCATACAACCTGTATCCAACTTGAAAGAACTCAAAGCACTTGAAAGCGCAAGTTTCCCATTCGGATTCTGCCCAATAGTATGTCATCCTTTTTCAGACTTCAGGGTTCGTCATCATCGGTGATTCCGGTGTCTTCATCAGTTAATAAAGGAGTGGATTTTAGGTCTGTTTCATCATCATCATCATATCATCATCGACAGCATGACATCAGTGTTCAACACTGATGCCGTACAATCATGTTTTGCTTGAAGGGCTTATTGTGAACAAAAGAATAAACGTGAGCTTAAAACGGACTGATGCTGGCTTCTATAATCATTTCGAGCTGCCCACAACTGCAGACACTCATTCAGGCAATCTGTGTAGAAACTAACAACAAAAACGCCATTGACATCAGTCAGCAGCCATAACTTGCAACGTCTCCAACCAAGTGCAGTGGGGTTCACGCGGTCTCCGTTCAGGAAGACGAGTAGAACAGACAGCACCCGAACATTCCGTTATCACTTTCATATCCCCCTGCCAGCTCAAGGGTTGGCCACCGCTCTGCATTCCGCCACTCTGAATTGGGCATGGAAACAGTACTCTCTTCGACAAACGATGTTTCGGCATACGTAACACATTTCACAACCAACGCAGCATCTGGTGCTGGACACATTCCTCAATGGAAGTACCCGTTACATAGCCGAAAACACGCTTTCTGACTGCCTTGTTACGGATTCGCCGACACCAACCCACAAGATATGGTTCTGAGACAACGATTGTTGGACATCTGAAGATGCCTTGGTTCCGCTATTCGAAAAGGCCAAGTGTCACAGCCGTACAATAAAACAGCGTGAACTATGGCCTGATGCACACGTCTCTCGAGATTTTTAGGAGGTGCCACTTTGATGCCACAGCTAGTGAGCTGACCTTGGTTGACTGTTTGGATCCTGATCTGTGCAGCTAACGCAGTAATTGTTCCTGTGACCAAAGGCGGACTGGATAGTCATAGCCAGCAAGCACATGTATCTAATTTTTGATAGCAGTGGAACAAATCACTAAAGATAACACGATAATATGACTACTCTTCTTCCATTACATGCGGCCTAAAGGAGGCACCCTTATCGTCCACGAATGCGGTAAAACAAACTACGTCTAACAGACCATAACTTCACATGCACCATCTGGAATGACAAGATGAATTCGATGTCACCTCAAAGAGCGCTCGTCAGCTTATTGCAACTCCGTCAGCTTTCTCTATCGATGCTTTCACTTGAAGACATCGTCACACTAAAATAGCATCAATGCAGTAAAGTTTGGTGAGGTTGTATTGTAAACGTTCGCACATTGCAAGAAATTCACACGCTTCCTGTGAAATTAAAAAAACACGGCTTGTTTTCTTACTATACGCAAGCTTGCAGCACTTCACTGCGCCTTAATATCAGTCATCCCAGACTGTGATTGCACTTCCAGGAGCGGAAGTGGTCAAACTATAATACTTTTGACTTAATCCGTTCATCATTGGAACTGCTACAGAAACGGAGAACTTTCAGTTCGTAATCTCAAGACTGTTCACAGAGTGCTCAACACAAGGCCACTAAAGTTGACCGTTCAGTGATTTGACTACCAATTTTCGGGACCATGCAATAACTGCACAGATTCGTAAATCCCAAAAATTCCACAGTTTTAGGAACAGAACAACAACAAAGCCAGATAGACGAAGTCAATAATTTTTCTGTACGATTCGACCTAGAGGAAATGCAAGTTGGCTCGACTTGTTTTGATTTGTAACTGACAGTAATGCAGGGAGATTATTCCCCGGAAAACCTCAGAAAACATCCTTTGCTTTTTATCCGACTTCTTGAAGTCAAACTGCGATACGACGTAAAAAGGTGCGTCCAAAGTAGCTGCCCAAAATCGGTTGCTTGTTGGAAATTTTGAGCTCCTGAGAGAAGCTTGAAGAGTTAACAAAGGACTATCTTTTTTTAGACAGGGTCCCTTCAGGATCTGGTAGCTATAGACAGAAGGTGATCTGGAGATTCACCAAGATTGTCTTAACCTTTTTTCAGTTGTGTGTGTATAGTGTGGCAACCTCTGGTGATAGTTCAGTGAGAGCTTGTGCATTTCCTAACCACAAAAGTTTGGACGAATGATGCGATTAAATGTAGTAAGATACACTCATTTGCACTCCAATTTGGTTGTGAATCAAATTTGATAGATTTCAAAAAAATACTCACATTTATATATAAAGTTGGTTTTAAATGCTCATGTCTGTGTAGTCTCAGGAAGGGTAGAACCGAGTTCGGGCTATCAACGGGTTTTCAGCAACGTTATCAGTAATTTCCCTCATGAACGTACTTTAAAAAGTTCAACTCGAGTATGACGCTATGAGATATCAGCATACCCACTAATATGCGTTTAGTGCAAATACGAATGAAGAATGAAGGTTCTCCAGGAAAAACCCAGTATACTTTACTGTCATCTGATGGTTCTTGTCTTGAGTTCTCGAGCAGAGAACAGCTAATAATTACCTTCTATTTCATATAATTACAAACACGGTGCTACAGTGCACAGATTTGCCAAGCAAGAAATACTAAATGAAGTCTAACAGCCTGACAAACAGCCTAAAACCGTGATAGTTTGATGGAAGCGGCAGTTGAGAGATTGACGAATCCTTCAAGTGGTTTGCACGCAGTCCAAAGCAGGAAAAAACTTACTGAAGGCCAGCATTGGCCAAAATAAAAAGTGGAATTTTTCGGTGAAAGAGGGCCTGGAAATGTCACACAGGGTTTGATTCGAAAATGATGCTTTCTGAGTGAAAACTTTGGTTCCTCCGTGGTTTGCAATCAGTAAACAGTCCAGGTATTATCACTACTTGAGGACCCGGAAAATACTCTTCTGATATCAGTGGGAAAAAATCAACAAATAATCAAAAAAAATGTCAATTGATGAAACCTATTATCCTGAACACACATTTATTAACGGTCATTGGCAAAACGCAAAAGTATGATGTGGCGCCAAAACCATGAAATTATAACGCATAAATAGCCTGTTTTTTTTCTGCGAACCACGAAGATCTCCGTGGTTTGTTTGAAAACCCTACTTTCATCTTATTTCCAAGGTCCGCTGCAGGAGATAGACAGGACCTGATAACTACCGTTCGGCAACCCACCACCGGTTGTGCTGTTCCTCAGGTTCATCAGGTGGGCACAGTTTCCATAGATCTTTTGCTCTACTAAAGTGCCAAATGACAGGCAGCTTGCGAAGTACACTAGGTTGTCAAACAATATAGTATTGACGTGAGATTCAACGGAATCGCTTGCGACATTTTTCAACTGAATGTGCTGCACAAAAACCACTCATATTGCAGCTGGTGTGTGTATTTTCATGAAAGATGCTGCTCACGGGGTTGCTGAAAACCCTTCGACTGGCTACTATGTTAACATGAAAATGAATGTATTTCGCCGTTTAGTAACTGGAAGTTTTCACTGGGGGATTCGAGATGTCCACAGAACTCTTTCTGGTGGAATCGAGGCATGCAAGGGCTAGCGCAATTGCAAAACTCGTACACTCTCAGAGTAGTGCATTTGTTGGAAATGACTGTGTATTCAGGTGCGATCTTGAGGAGATTTGCGGAGCAGCCTGAAGGAAAGTGTATCATTCGACCCTGCCGCACAACGCTGCGTCCATCCCCGGATACAGGGACATGTGTAGCTGGAAATCTTGTGAAATGTAGGTATTTCAGATGTGCTGCTTGGTTGTTGGTCTGTTCGCCGAGCTTGGCAGTTGGACTGCAAGCGTTTCATCACCAATCGAGGTGACATCATCAGTGCAGGGTTGAGTGGATCACGTGCAGCTTGTAGAGACACACTCACAGATTCAATCAGTAACAAACATTATCGGAAGAAAAGTATAAAATTTAGGTCCTTCAGATACATACATCATGTGCAGCTTGTAGAGACCCACTCACAGATTCACTCAGTATCAAACTTTATCGGAACAAAAGTATAAAATTTAGGTCCTTCAGATACACTAGTTTTCTATGCAATTAAACCAGAAGAAACATCAGTCGCCTACCTATTCCTCGGCGCTGGCTGATGACTTTCCAGTCGTTACGAGTTACAATTTTTATCCACACTATTTGGAAAACATACGTAGTATATATTTAACACTATACTTCTTGCTGCTCAGTCATCGCTCGTTCGTCATTTGTTTATTCCAGGATACACTGTAGAAAATCAAAGGCAAACTAACTAGAGGGATGACAATACGTTGTGGGCATGCAGTTCCCATTGGTAATAGTAGGTGAATAACATCGCGGTATACGTTTGAATCGAAAAGAATTCAACCCTTCTGAAATTTTCCATTCCGGCGAAAAACGTTGATACATTCATTTAAAGTGAACCAGGAGGTCACTGTGACGCTAGAACTCGGGAAGACTCTTCGTTCATATCTAAAAAACATGCGGAGATCGATAATGATGTAAGGAGTTCAGTCGATTATTCGCTGTGGCTAATCCGCCCCTTGGATATCTAGCGGGATATGTAGAACGCTGATGCGGAATATTATTCAGTATTATTTCTGTCAGTGACTTCCGACAGTCCCTTGTGTGAGGTCCTTCATCTACAGATAAGCAAAATGAACGACTGAAAATTGAATGAATTCTGAACTTTCAGGCTAACAAAACATACTGTCATTTCTCATGTGCTTTTTATGTGCGCGTTACATCACATATAACAATGCTACCTGAACAGTCTTGGTGTCACAACACTGCATGACATTCTTGTTTTAGCTTTACGCAGTGTTGAGGTCTTCGACATTTCAGGAGAAGCTTGGAGCAGCATCGCTCCCATGTCCTGTGCACGGCGACGACTTGGAGTGACCGCTTTCTACGGCGCAATCTATGCTATTGGTGGCGAAAACAGAAGTGGTATATTGTCTTCCGTGGAGAAATACAAACCTTCAACGGGTTTGTGGATGTCAGTTCAGAGTCTAGGGATCCCGTGAGTCACATATACACATGTTTCCCAAATCATAGTTTAGTTTCACTTTGTTCATGAATAAGTACCTCAACGTGGACACTGACGAACGACATAATCATCAAGCCTTATCGTCTTGCAGTTCAGCTTCACTTCATGTGACGGATTGAATTGGAAGTGGGCCTGGAAAACAATCGAATTCTCTTCCTACTGGCATCAAATGGACACACTAGATTCGTGATACCGTACAATTCTTTCGAAAGCTGGGGTCTGGTTTGACGCACAGGTTAATAAGACGAAGGTAACAGAACTGCCAGGTCCTAGTGTTTTCTGACGTGCCTTTCGTGAACGAATCAGTTTGGACTACTCTGATATGGTCACTTCTGCAAATAACTTGTGTCTGTGCAAATACTGCGAGCTCCGATGCCCAGACGCGTGGTCAAACTTCGTATATGTTTCAAATATTCAAAATAGTAAAAGATTTTCTGCCAGTCGGACCATATAACATTCCGATGTACTCCTCTTTGAATTTTTCTCAGATGAGCATAGAATCAAGGTGAATTGTACACCATCCTGATGGAGTGCCCACATGGTTGCCGAGGAGAATAGTTCAGAATACTTCGCCCTTGTTGTGGTTCGTCAGGCAAGCGCAGCCCAATGTTCTATTCGAACACCACCATTCCGAGTGTCTATGAATATACCGCTTTCAGTATTTTACGTCAAATGAACGCAAATGCTCGTTAGAATGCCGGAGATATTGATTGTAATCCGGGATGGTAATTGAGTAGTATTGTCCCTAGAGACGTGAGGTGACGTTTCTTTCCATTTTCATCCTATTGGCTCATTCGTGTCATAGCCCCTGTTCTGTGAAAATTTATACAATGATGTTTACGTCCACTAGCAAATACCTACACGCACCATTGCTTTAGACCGGTTCGCTTATCGGCCTCTGTGAACTCCGTGGTTAGTTGACCGTAGTTTTGAAAATGAAATATCATCGTCTGTTGTACAGACGAACGGAAGAAGACTGAGTGTGATAACCCGGCTAGTACAGAAGTGAAATTATCTGGATCAACTTGTAATTTTCTTGCAGATGTTTTGTCATCATCAACCGTGGAGACATCATCGGTGTGCGGTCCGTCGGATATCTCCTTCGTCTGTATAGGTTCAGAGAAGTAGTTAACATCTTTTGATATAACAAGCTGACTGAAGAACTGCTTCAGAGAAATTTTAGCAAATTGCCCATGATTTGTGCTGCGTTGTGATTGTGATTTATTGTATCCAATTAGCTCGCTGAATGGCTCCTTTTTGGCAGCTTCTATTTCGTTTCTGATTGGTTAGCTAATTAGCAATGTTGCTTTGGGTTCTATCTTCCTTCAATTAGATTGTTTATCCCTTCTATTTTTAACAGTTTTCATTCCGTGTTTTCATTGGCTGTTTCAAAATCTGTGTTCTAAAAGCTCGGTGATACTTAGGTATGGATGTATTATGGGGTCATGGCAGAAATATTTAACTGCTCCTGTCGAGACCTCTGTAGTTTATGCGATAGTTTCTTCCGGCATTCTGCTTCAGCCCTACCTTAGTAAGGCTAAGGACTGATGCTTACTTCAGGTAAACTTCGCCAAACTTCAGGAAATTTCTACACGAGCCCCGAAAAACTGACAGTCCCTACTTTAGCCCTTCAATATAACCAACTAAGCTTGTCGAAGCTCCGTTCCCTGCTTTCGTTTGGAGTTCCTTTCTACTAAATCTGGTTGTTCGAGAAGCCCATTTTTTCTCTCAAATCATGCTGTCAGGAGCTTCGGCCAATTCGACAGTATTGACTACTTTCTCTGTTTTGCCTGACTTTCTTCATTTTTCTTTGCGTCTGGAGCCCGAACTTGACAAGATGCTTGCAGTCTGCCTCATAAGCACACTTTTGCTTTTTGAGCTTTTATGCAGGAAGGACTTTTTTATTGATAAACGTTTGACAACAGCACACAAGATGGCATATTAGTTTGAGCATTTAACAGGCATGAACGACATATCTGACTACCCAGCAGTTCCGGCCGTTGGTTATAATGCGAACAACTAACAAAATGCTCCAATTTATCCCTGAGACGACCTAAGCGGCTGGTGGAAACTATTCCACAGCACACGAGGGACTGTTTCCTGGATTCCTTTCAGTCTAATTTCACTCTTCAGCATCAAACCCCTCACAGCTGAAGTTAAGTACTCAATGCCGAGTTTCAAAATGCGCTCACCATTTTTTGTGCGATTTATCAGTGAAAATTATCTTCTGGTTTGCAATGAAGTCCCGTCACAGAATCATGCCGAACGACCGCTGCCCTAGTCTAAGCGAGGTCGTAAGTGGTATCCTCAAACCCCTCTGAAGTTAAGTACTCAATGCCGAGTTTCAAAATGCGCTCACCATTTTTTGTGCGATTTATCAGTGAAAATTATCTTCTGGTTTGCAATGAAGTCCCGTCACAGAATCATGCCGAACGACCGCTGCCCTAGTCTAAGCGAGGTCGTAAGTGGTATCCCAGAGAAAGGCCCACTTTTTGCGTTGTCAGGATGTCCGTTTTTTCACTTTTACATCAGACCCATTTATATGCGCAGTGTTTCGTTATATCGTGTTGGTTTAGAGTACGTTTTCCATCTAGGCGTATTTTGTGCACCAACAATATTAAGGTTACAAGGGTGATTAGATGTGACTATCGGTGTACAGAAGAAACTGAATGATGGCTAGCATTACCTTGGCACATGCGTACGCTTTTGGTTCAGCTCTTCAGTGATGCAAAGAGCGCACTTTACCTACACTCTGTTTCCCACTCAGAGTAATTTGGGTCGTCGGTAGGGCACGCTGATGGGTTTATAATTGTCGTCGCACCCTTCTGTCTTATGCCCTCAGGTGTGCACCAGACAGAGAGAGAACGCACGGTTCAATGAAAACCGCATATTATTTTGCCATATATATGCACTCAGACACCAACAAGATAACTTTCTCAGGGAACACAAGCATTTGGTCCATGGTGCTAGGGTGCTGAAACTGTGATTTCTAGATACGCTACGTAACACAAGCTGATCTGCAAAAAAGCACTTTCAAACCCCTACAGGGAAACACTTGTGTCCTGATACGTTAGATTCTAACCTTTAGAGAAGGAAAAGTGTCGTTACGCCTTTATAGATCTTTAAGATCGGTAGATGGCTTTGTAATACCTCCCTGAGCAACTCCGTTGACTACATTCAGCACTCTGTCGCCCAAGATGAGCGAAGGCGCGGGTCTCTGCAATTCTTGGGACTTGAGGCTGCATTTTAAGGAGGGAGCGATTTCCGCAACGTTCAGCCCCAAGCACCAGTTGGCCCGACAAAATCTGCGGCATTACTAATCACAACCATATCACCTGTGAATAAATTCAGGAACTCCATTATTTTGCTCTTCACTGAATTGTTCAAAGAGAAGAAGAAACCTTGCCATATTTCACTCAAGACTAGAAAAGAAAGCGAAAGTAACGTTTCTGAGGTCTCGTGTTCTAGTGTCTTCAGTAACCAGAAATTCTATCAGACATTCCAAAACCTTGGTGACAGTCCCACGGATCTCTTTGGTCAGCGTAGATAAACACTGCTCTGATATCCAGCTAGTCTATCCTAGGGACGCCATATTCTAAAAGTTGGTGAAATGCTAATTCTTGATGTGAATAGTCAGATTCTGCATGCTTCTTGTCGATTCACCTGGGTTGCATAACCAACAGAGGTGAGTAGACAGAACTAGTTCGGCCACAATGATAGTTGACCTGATAACAATGAAATCACGGCACAGGTTTTAGTGTACCATTGTCCAGACCGTTGTCTCTATCCACGAACGAGAGATACTCGCTTCATGCAAGATCTCCCATATGACTCTTTGCCGATAAATCGCAGTCTTCTGCGCTGGGGGCCTTCGTGTTTCATAACCCGTCTTTCATATTTATTTCCTAAATTGAGGGGTTCAATGGGGGAGCCCATGGATCTTGCTCATTAAGGTTAAGGAGGCTTAGTGGTGCACAAAGCCGGTAAAAATGTGAGCGCCCTAGACTGCGTCGGAGACTGAAGATTGACTTACCTTTAACTTGCTTGCTTGTCACCTGTAAAAGTGATAGTTTACGGTTTCTTTTAAAAGCTTCTGTGGTAGTTGCTTGTTATGACCAGTGGGTTTTACGGACTCTGAAAGATAACATCTGATTGGTTCTTAAGGGACAACCTGTCAAATCGTTCCAAATGTTTGATAACGTGGATTGGCAAGCATCTATTAACAGTGTCCGATCGCAGATAAACTTATCTGCAGAAGATAAGCAACAAGCTTTTTCAGAACCTGTTTTTGGAGTTTATCAGGACGAATGACCCTGAAGGACCATTCAGCTTGAATCTCAGTGTATTCATTTCCTGTGGCCCGACAAGACATGGTGAGACCTTGGCACAAGCCAAACCATGGTTCGCAGTCTTGGTCTGGCAGAACCGTGCACGACTAGTCACCGTGTGGTCCATTCGTTCCAGGAACCACCTTGTGAACTTACGATGCAAAGTGGCGAAACGCCGTGCATTGCGTCCAACGTTGGGATTGATGACTAACTGAACACAAACTTAACAACACAACTTAACAAACTTAACACAAACTTAACACAAACTAAAAGATTTCTTGTTTCCTCGTAGGTGATAATTACCTTGAACTAAACAGATCTTCAAACTAGGCTGCGGGTTCCCAATCCGTGTATTCAGGTCTTCAAATGGGATGTTTGTTTCTAACCTACGAGCTTTCTGGAGTAGGCCATTCATACTTTCCTAGAATGACCACATGCACAGTTCATCCGGCTGGTGGGTAAACACACACTACGAAGGGCGCACCCGCTTTCTCGAAGTTTACTACGAGAGCGTGTCCAACGCCTGTGTAGCTCACAGATGATGCTGATGGAGCGAACAATCTGGTGAGCAATTTGAATTTCCTTCAGACAACTCGCACCGCCAACCAATTTTCATAAAAGTGAATCAGGGCCGCTTTACGGTCAATATTCAATAAGGTTTGATATGACGTTTGCTCAGGTTCCATGGAGTGACGAGAAACTTCAGAAGAGAGCCAGGTATGCGCAAAATTACTAGTGAGGATATGAGGGGGTACCGAGCTGGCTGGGTAAGATCAGCTGTGTAGGTGGATTAATTGGACACATCGCAAGGGATGCATTAACGGCATGATCGAGGAAAGTGAAATCGCCAAGTGGCAGCATTGTTTGTGTTCAGGATCTGTTTGCAGAATGTTGTACTACCATGAAGCAGACGTTTTCCTGAAAGTTTCACCCAGAGCCGTTAACTCATTCGTCAAGCGATAGGGCTAGGCAAAAAGTTCGCTATCTACTAAATCCCGCGATTACGGATGCAATTCAAGTGCATGTGGGATGTCCGAGGACCACACAAGATACTCGGTGAGCCCCGCGATTACATGTGCCGATAGTTTCCAGGTAATTGGCGAGCGGTGGTTCTCCGGCTGCGAGTCACAAGTAACCTTATGCGCGTTCGTAATGTCTGTCAAAAACAAATATCTCTGACGGTTCAGTGAACAGTTGTGCGTGAGAATCTTCGGCAGTCACGAAGAGACTCCCTCTCATGAAGAGACTGGACCTTACTGTGGTGTGACGGTTTGTGTACCTCGGCGATCCATTGGGCGCGACACTCGCAGATTATATAGAGGTCTGACGAACACAGTCTCCTGGTCCTCCAGGTTGGGGGTTGGAACATGTGGTGACTTGTTCCGTAGAAATGGTAATGTACTTGCATTTCCAGCCAAACTCAGCCACCGTGTGTTCAGGCTTTTGAGCCAAAGGCTTTGGTTGAGGACCCTAATCGTCCTCCTGTCTAGGTTCGGGCGCCCTGACGGTATCCCGGCCCTCGTACAACCATGACGTTCACAACTAACAATACTCTGATACCATATCGGGCGTAGCGTGGTGCCATCGGACTTACTCGATGCTAACAGCAGAGTGTGTAAACGAAAACAGGCTACTGCTGACTCCTCCCTTCTTCCTCTTTCACATGCTTTTTCTCCTCTCCCCACCTTATTAATAACACTCCTTTTGTAGGCCCAGCACTTAGGACTGCTGGCTTCGTTTGTCTTGCAGCAGTTTTGCAGGCAACATCTGCGCATCCTCCGATGCCGAAATCCTCAGGCATCAATATCCAAGCCTTGTCCGCACTCTGTAACAACCAGGACAACAAGGTGCGTTTGCTCTCACGCTGGCATTGGTGTGTGTGTGTGTGTGTGCTGTTTTTTGTGGCAATAAAGCATCAGTGTTGAATGCACTGATGTTATACTGTCGATCATGTTGCTAATGGTGCAATCTAACTCCGAATAACTGATAAACTCATCAAGAACACCTGCCAGCTTTTCCGTGTTTTACCCAACTAAGACAGGAGTTTGAAAGTTTGGAACTGGCTGGACACTGAAATTTCGTCCATATGCCCAATTTCACTATCCGATCAAATGTATGTTTACCTAACACGCATGTCCAACAGAAGCATCTTCTACACGGGTGAAGCGAGGAGTAAGTCCTTGCAATGACAAACTGGGGGAGAGGCTTCCGTTAAGGAGTATTAAGCTTCGGTTGGAGAAACGACTGGGTTACGTCATCAGAAAGTGAGAATTTGAGAGGATCTCGCATAAAGAGAACAAGGTTGTGATCCCGGAACGCTTCTTAGGATTTTTTTGACTAGTTAGCTGGTCATTCGATGTGACCTTATCACTGCCTTTTTGGGTTTCCGTTTGAACTGTGTGTATTTATATAGGACCACATATTCCTCGTGCCTGTTCACATTTTTCACCAATATTTCTTGTGCTTTCGACCGCTCTGCTTCTTTCACAGACGTCATGCACATTCGGCTTGTGTATTCAAGAAACACATCTACGTCGTTGGTGGACAGTCGGAACTTGGAAGAGACCTTTCCACTACTGAAGTCTATTTGCCTGTACCAGGCCTTTGGACGAATTCTGCCAAACTGAATGTTGCTCGATCATACGCAGGTAAACTACCCACCCAGTAACTGCCTTGGTTGCAATAGGCATCGTATTCTCGAATTTCAAAGGGCTACAGTAATGTTGAATTAGATTTCCTTATTTATTTACCTAACCTCTTACTACCTATCCATCTCAGAGTCTATTGTGTATCTGTGATAACATGTGAGACGTGTTCACTAAGAACGTTTAATTTCAGATTTGGAATGGTGGCAAACCGCACAAATGGTGGAATGCTTCTTGACTAAGACGATGATTTACACAAGAGGGGTTGCTGTCAGTCGTACTTTCTCGGAAATCACGATGCAAACTAAATAATTTTCTTTTAAAAAAGTCAGGATTAAATATCATTCGTGTCCGCCCGATGACTTTTAAACAGAACTTCTGTCGCAAAACGATTATTCTGGTTAAGCTTCGCTGAAGTCGAGGGACGCAGCTGGACCCTTACTGTAACTCTTATTGTGATAAATCAACAAAGTGTGCATACTGTTGATCTTGTGGGGAGAAGAACTCCAGGGTTACTCCATGGGAGTAGGATGTCGGCGCTCGAGTTATTAGGGGTGGTCATATGAGCGACACCAACGAGTCTCATCGCAAGAGCATGAGTATCGTTGCTCACTTGCCCTCCATAGTTTGAATGCATCTAGGATGCACTGCAAGAGTAGACGCTGACACCGGTTTGGTCAGTCGCAAAGTATGAAGCAATTTTCCCATCTTGTGAACGTTCTAGGTGGAATTCAGTGTCCTGCTGATCTGATATTTGAGTAAATTCGTACCACGACTCTGGGATAATTCTCAAACGGTGGAAACGTTTGGTCCACGTTTGTAGGTAATTCACTTACATGGAGATTAGGAGGCAACAGACCCGGAACTGGCCATCGCAGTGCTCTGCTGGTTTCCTCGACCATGTAAAATTGTGGATCACTGTGCTTAACACGAAATTTTCGCTGATGAAGGGAGCTAATAGCTTTGGAAAACTGCCCCACTGATTTCTCAGTATTCCTTAATACTTTTCCGAGACCTTCAAACACTACATTCAACTACCCCTTATAATCCCGTACTTTACCGTTCAGTTAATGGCGTCGTAAGATTCTTGATATGGCGCTACTAACTGCTGGGCCAGTCCGAGCCATAGGGTCACAAAACTGAAGTCTCTTGATGACTGTTCTTCAACCCTTGGGCTATGTAAGGTTACGCGCTTTGCCATGAACGCCAGTTTTCTTGAGGCTGGCAGAGTAATAAAAATCTCATTCAGGGCTAACACACTATCATTATACCCGGCAAATTTTCCCGGTCGCATGATAAACGGAGCAGTTTAACTTTTGGGCCCTAGTTCTCGGCCTGTTTAAGTCCCTTCAGTATACAGCCTCAGGTCTCCCATCGTGATCCAAGTGCCAAATACCTCCCTGCTCGCCCTAATCATTTCGTTCCTAAATGAAAACGTCAAGCTCTCTACAGCAATGGCAACCGCGTAACACTGCCGGTTTCGTGCGTTTTTTCGCTGTTTTCGTCTTCTTGGTCGCCCTTGCACAGGAACTTATGATGTTTTTGGTGACCCCAACACTCATGTTAGGGAACCTACATTCAGATTTCGTCTTGCCCCTCCTACTCTGGCTGCTGCAATAAATACTGTTAAAAATAAACTTTTCTACTATTTCCGCAGTTTACTGTGTGTTGTATATAGATCCGACGATTGCTTGTTTGCACTGCAACAGATTCGAACACTGAAATTGTTTCCAACGCGTGTTAAAATTAATGCCAGAGAGCGTTGTCTTCCTTTCTCAGAACCTTATTGCATACTTTGCATCTGTCAACGTTGAGAAACGTTTGCGAACTTCTAGGTAACGCAAGCGATATTCTTTCTATCCATGACGTATGAATGAGCATCCCAGCATGACCGACAAAGGCGGTTGAATAAACTGGAGAATACAGGTCCTCTGATGTTACAGCGGCGTCATTCTGCACCGCACTTTACACAATACCGTAACTTGGAGCCGTAACCGCAAACAAACCGATTCTTTGGAGTTTTAGCTCATGCTGTCCCTATAATAAAGGCTTATCGGCAGTTGGTTTTGTCCTCTTTGCTCGTCCCCCATTGTTAAATTGAAAAACTTATGGACTAGGTTCGATAGTTTTGGGAATGAGCTGGTTTTATCATCAATTCTCAACGACGGAGATTAATTGGTCGGGAAAATAGACTACGGTGACACACCGCGTCCGTGGAATAATTTGTCCGACCTGCTTTGAGTTTGTAGCGGACTAGGACCTTATCAGCGTGTTCGGACAAATGAGCAAGCAAAGTAACCAATACAAAATCAAAAAATCACAATAAGAAAAGAATGAGTAGTCGAATAAGGATTCACGAATGTGTAGATCCAATATTCCACTACACCGATTCAAATGCAGTAACCGGCTGTGAAAGAAACATTAAATCGTAGAAACTTCCCACGGATGATTCACGCGTGAGTGATATATTCCACGATAGGAAAGTTATTCACGGCTGAAAATGTCACTGGGATTTAATTTGACGTTCAACAGTTCACAAACACAGGGANCTAGTCCCACTGGTTCAGCAGTCAGCAAACAGTTCAACGAAGCTTAAATCCAATCATTCAGCAAGAAGTCAGCAAGTCGCGCCAAAAAATTGTCTATTGGTAACAATAAAACAAACGCCATGATAAAATATGTACGACAGTTACAAAGTGTAGTTTAAGTTTAGGAGACATCGTAAATGTGACAACGGATTACAGACACTACAAGTTCCCCTACAAAATTGCCAGGTGGCGGTGTCCGAAGAAGAGGGCCCATTGAGCGTCGTCAAAGTGGTGATCGGTGAACCCCAACGGCAAGTTTCACGTCAATGTTTCCTCGACGTCGCACTAGTCTAGACACCATGAATCGTTCGGATGGTCTGAATGATCTTTGCCCGGCGCTCAGTGAGCAAGTCGGCGTCCATTGTTAAGTAAACGTAAAGGAAGTTTTCGAACTCATCCGGGAACCAGTGAAGTAGCCCACGCAAAAGTGCACACCGGACTTTGATCATCTGTGCATTCCACTTACGGATACATCTGATATAGATTTTAGTGACTTTATTTGTATCTTCCGTGCTTTCAGGTGAACGGCCAGTAGTTATCGAGGTTATAGAGCCTCCTCTGAAAAGCAGGTACAGGTGGGATACAAACATAACTCTGATGATCCGCCCCCTCACATAAACAAATGTACAGGGTAAATCTAGGCAGGTATCTGCCCCGAATGAAAAGGTCCGCAGGAATAGCTTTTTTATTTTAAACTAAGTCTTAAGCGTGCCGACCTCTGCTCTGCTAAGTGACGCGCAAGCTTCTGCTCCTGTTTTGGTGGGATAAAGCAAGCAAAAAGTTGTGTCCTGGTCGTTCCGTATTGTCCTCATAAAACTCTTTGTGGGGCCTTTTTTCGCACTGACCGGTCGTTTTTGAAAGCAACCAGAACAAGCGAGACAGCCAGGAACCGATAAGACTCCCTTGCGAGCGTAGACGCCATACTTGCGCTTTTTTGGGAACCTCATCGATTTTCCGACCGTACTAGTGCAGGACATGTTACCACGCAATTGGTATAGTTGACGAGATTATGAATAGCATCTTGCATCAAAGTGATTTCTAAGTTACCGTAACGACCCAGTAGAAAGCCCAGAGCTACGTCATCTTTCCGGCCACATGGGAAATCGCTGACGTGGGTTCTTGATATAAAAAAACCCATGTCGTGTAAATGCTAAAAAAGATTATCAATTGTTTTTTGGGGTAGACCTTCCCGAAAAGCCTTAATTGCCTGAGTTTTTTGTTTAGTAAGATTGTCTCTAGAGAAATCTATGAAGCAACGTGTTCCTTCCACTGGATCAAGAATTTCCTGAATGGATTAAGGATCCTTGTGAGCCGTATGATTTAAATAACTCACGCAGAGTTTCATTTACTTTAAGATACGGGTGCCTTAGGATCTTACATGGTGATCGGAGCCATCGGACTATGCACAGTTGATATTCAGTAGGTACTGAACCGCAGGAACAAATAGACGAAGGCAGTGAATGGTGAATTGACAAGTGATCCTATGGATGACTAGTTTAAACACCATGAATTAAGTGAAACCTGCAATCAATAATGGCGTGAATCGTAGGAGCAGGCAAAAGGGCAGCGGGACAGCAGAGCTCTCCGGAAGCGACAGCGAGTAAGTACCATGTGATATACAGACGTACGGATATGGGCACTCAGTCGGTGTGAATAGGCAGCAAAAGACTCAGTCCATTTGATAGGTATTAGTGAGTCGAAACGGAATTGAATCTGTATGGAAAACGGGTGTTGGTTAAGTCTGGCACAAATCAAATGTGCCCACAGTCTTCAGCTGACAGCGCGACAAAGCGGGATGCGCTACGAATCAAAATTGAACTGCGTGCCTTTGCCCGCCCAAAACGAAATACCAACGAGAACTACCAGGTTAGATGCAACACAGGGGCAAAATAAAAATGTGGATTTCCTGGGAAGTCGAGTTTGCGCAGTGGAAGGCGAACTTTTCTACCAATCGAGGGGTTTGAGTTCGATACCCGACGATCGAAAACTATTAGAGTTGACACGAAGTTGCAGGCCAAGATGGACGAATAACAAAATCCCGGCCTAGATGGTAAGCCAGCCCTAAACGGGAACCAAAATCGGTGAATGACCAGCCGGGAGGTAAACGGCTTTTTGGTAAACAAGAGAAAGTTACGCCGCTCATGCTTATCCGAACAAATAAGAACAGATAATGTTTTCGAGAAATACACCCATTTGCAAATCAATTTGGTTTTCACGAGAGACTCAACTGAATTTCTCGTTTATTATGCTCTAGAACTGAATGTGCTGCACATAGGACGTCTCATGTTTCAGTTGGCACGATATTCGAGATATCGCAGTATATTTTCATGAAGCAAACTACTCATAAGTTTGCTGAAAACTCTTCGACAGCCCACGACCGATTTGCAAATGAGTGTATTTCTTGAAAACAGTGCAGTTTGGGTTCAAGTAGAGTGTAAGGTTGATGGAAACTCGGAGACTGCGCCTACCTGATGAGCCCCAAGAAGGGCGAAACCGGTCGTGGGCTGCCGAAGAGCTTTCAGCAACCTTGTGAGCAGTTTCCTTCATGAAATCAAATAATGTTGATCGCTGACAGGAGGAATCACTACCTACCCAGAATTGGTCTCCGAACATATGGCAGGGCAAACCATATTTTTGCGGCATTGCTCTGATCCGGCCGAATATGTTCAAGGTCATGCTGTTCCACTTGTTCACAGTTTCGCCACAGGGAGAAAACTGACGGAACCGGGTGTTAGGAAGAACTTCTGTGGAGAGAATGTTTTTGACCAGCTGAACTTGCCTGTGTGAGCCGATGAGTCTGACTGGCCGGATAAGACGGACGCATTGAAACCAAATGACCATGTGTCACCGTCCATTACACCATTGCTCAATGGTTTGGAGACAGCAATCGGGCAGAACTCCATCACCATCAAACCAAACATTCTTTTTATAGAGCACCCTAACCACTTTGGTGTTTCATCGCATTCATCACACAAGTCCTGTATCGTTCCCCCACTACTGTAACATACCTTCTTGATTTCGTTTGCATAAGTTGAATTTTAGTGGTACGACATAGCACGAACAAAGTATATACGCGATAACATTGTAGAGTATACACAAAATTTCTTGCCGGCGTTTTGTTTACCCAAGATCGGTCGTCACCACTAGCTGGCCATCAACATTCGTAAAACCAGTGTTTAATTAATCACCAATGGTGTGCGCGGTCATTACTGTGCTCTCAAATGGCATGGTGTTTCATCTGCCCATTTTTCGACCCCATTTGTTGTCGTGAAGTCCCTGGTGCGAACTGGTTGGCCCTGACGGTTTTCTTGTTCATACTGGCCGCCTCCCTCTTGCCCGTTTGTCAGCAAAGC